AATTTAAGTTTAATAATGAAACAATTTATTTTTGGTTTAATAATATAACATTTTATAAAGATAATAATTAAGTATTCTGTTAAAACTCAATGATTATCGTAATTATATTTTAGATTTTTTATATTTAAAATGAGATGTTTATCATGTATTTGATTGTGTTTATTTACAGTTAGTTACACGAATTCAGATATGAGATAAAATCGGATAGGGATGAACGAGTTTAAGAGTTTTAAGAGTTTTTAAGAGTTTTAGTCAAATGCTTTATAAAATAGTATAGATAATAAAAATATGTTTATATCATATTATCTTGTATAATTTCATGTTATATCAGAAAGTAATCATTTAAGATATTTTCATATAGGATCACAAGTTGTGATCCTATGATTATATAATTAATATATTTTAAATCTAAATACCATTATTGTTTTTTTTTTCATTAATCTGAATATCCAACCTGCTATACGAACTAACTAATCCCAGAGCGACCACTTGCTTCGTGGGTAGTCCGGAATTACCGCATTTGAACCTCTGTAGTCATAAGAGGATTTTCATTCTTCATTGGATTCGAACATGTGGCCTCTAATGTGCATAATCACATCATTTCATGTGATTGTATGCATGAGCAACATTATTATTTGACCATATACACCATCACATGTAATCGTGCAGATCGTCATATATGAGAAAATGAAACAATTAACATTCGATTTTAAGGACCAATTTTTTTTGTTACTAAAGAAAAAGCATGAAATTCATACCAAAAGTTTGATTCGGGATTTTTAAGAACCAATCTTTTCTTTTCGGTTACTAAAACTGGCTTGAAATGTTTTGAGTATAGATCAAAAAAATGCACCTTTCGTTAGAAAGGGCCAAATTGGGCCCAACACGACCTATGACCGGTTATGTGCAAGACCGTTTTTTTTAAGGTTTTATTAACAATAATAATTGTTTTTAATGTGAGAAAAAATAATATACTTTTAATGTCGAATCAGGATCAACTAAGATAGAAATAAAGTATTGAGTCGAATTCTTATTTGGTGTCACTGAAACCGGTTACCTGACCTAGAATCAGTCTCAAGAGGAGATCGATTTAAAATGGGGACAGACACCAACCTAACCCAACCAATCTGTGATCAATTTTTGGCTATAAGTACTTACTTGTGTTAACTCTATATACATTTACTTAAACCAGAAAGGTATTCGCACAATGCAGTGAGATATACATTTTGATTTTAATGTTTTTTTGTCTCAGTCGATATTATAATACGGTTTGATTTGGTTTTGAGAAAACGATAAGTTTTTATTTTTGAATAAAATATAAATATAACGATACATCATAAAGAATTGCTAAAAATATTGATATTAGTACCAAACTAACTATTTAATTTTTTTATTATGTGTATTTCTGTAATTCAAATAACTAAGCATTCTTGTTAGAACTCAATAATTATTCTACTTATATTTTTATCTCTTTTATATTTAAAATGAGATGTTTATCATCTATTTGATTATGTTTATCTGTAGTTAATAACATGAATTCAAATATGAAGCTTTAATAAGTCATACTTACGCACAACTTACTTGTAATATTGAATTTTAAATAATATATATTAATAAATATTTTTTTTAAAAACTTTTATTAAATACTTTATAATATAATATAGTATAGACGTTGGAGAAGGGTTCATGTCACAAATCACAATGGGGTCCGAGGGGGCATGGTGGCGGTGGCCCCTCCTTTTTGGTTCATCTCCAAATATTCCTTAAAAAGGAAAAGGCTATGATTTTTTTTTAAATTTGATTTATTATAAAAATAAGAGTAAATTACATGTTCTATTTTAACTGGTCTTTGTTTCTTTTTTAAAAATTCAACAGACGTGTCGTTACGGTTGTATTTTTAAACGAGCTATATTTTCGTTGTTGAATTTTTTAACGAGTTGGGTCCTTGTGGTTATATTGTTTACGAGTTTGGTCCTTAAATATATCAACGATCTGGGTCCTTGTGGTTACACTTTTTATGAGTTTGGTCCTTAAATACATCAACGAATTGGGTCCTTATGGTTACATTTTTTACAAAATTATGATTTTTACAAATTTTTCGTGAGGAAAATATGATTTTTACAAATTTTTTAAGGCTAAATGATGATTAAATTGTCATAAAATCCCATAACAATAACTAAAATACTACCACATTGTTGCACCTTTTTGGCAAGTTTAATTTTGAAAATTGTGGCCATTTTTTATTTTATAAAATTATCAATTTATTGTAATTTTTTGGGTTAAAATGATTAAATCAATGTTTCTTTTTCTAAAACTTCTTGGTTAATGGAACCTGTTGGTCCATTCTAATATTTTAAACTAGACTTTGACACGATAGATACAACCCAACAATCTATGGCCCAAATCGAGCAATGGCCTAGCTATCCTCAACTAGTGATAGGCCAAAATCCAGTCGTGGGCCGGGCCAGAACAGTGATGCTCATAACCGGTGCGGGTCATCAAAATCAAGCCCGTTTAACTTGATCCGTAACTGGTTATGGGTAACCAGTCCCTACCAAAAAAAAAAATATTTTTTTAATGATAGGTTTTTTTAATACATTATAAGAATTGTAATTGAGTCATTTAAATATACTTTAAAAATACGTTTTGACATATTTTGCATTGTGTCTTTTTTTTTTCGGTTTGCGAGGATCACCAAGTTGTATGAATTCCAAATCTCGGACTTTCGTCCGTGCTTAGCGAGAATTTGGGCAACTTGTTCGTTTGATGTATCATGTTGTTCACCGGCCATTTTGTGAGACAAAAAGAGAAAAAAATGAGAATTGTGAAGTGGAAGCGAGAAATGAATACAAGCCGAAGCCACAAAAATATAGCGAGAAACAGAGAATTGTGAACGTTTTTTTTGTGTTTTATAAGTTGGTATCTTACACCATACTCCATGACACTTGTATATATTGTTTAGAAGGCCAAAAAGATTTTTAAAATGGGTCAAAAATCATAAAAACGGTCATATAAACGTTCCCAACGGTAAATTAAAAAAACGGCTCTTTTCTTGAACTCACCGGGTCGGGCCCACAAATCCGTCCAAAAGCATAACCGGTCCCGGTGGACAGTCCCTCAACCGGTCCTGGTCCCGGGCCGATTTGACCATCACTATCCTCGACCATGAAATGTACAAATCCAAACCGGTTGTTGGTTTATATCAAAACATAGTTAACGTCTTATCATCGATTCAACTAACTATATTTTTATATAAAAATAGAATTCCCCATTATATGTTCAAACTTTCAAAAAATTTGAGACATGGAGCACAATTATGACAAAGGCAATGGTAAACATGGGTATGCAGTATTGACTTTATCCGCAGCCATTGCAGCCGGAAGTAGCCGCCACCTCTGCCGTCGGTCAAATCGATCCGCGGTCAAGATGAATTAAAGCTCAATGCTTCTGCTCCTAGTTGTGTGACAACTAAAGGGCATGACATTCATGCCCCAAGAATGGCTGTTGTGCAACACCAGTCAGTGTTACAGTAGCCAGCCCGGTCTTCGTGTTCATTTCCTGCACCATCATTGATTGGGGCAGGAACTCAAACACGATGAGGTTCAAGCCGTTGGTGCTGACAAGATGCAAGTCGGAGCCAATGAGAAGTGCAACCGACAAACTGGCTTGTTTCTAGAAGACCAACCGAATAAGTAAGGTCGGTAACTCTTGCTTAGTAAGTGTTTTATCCAATTAACGCTGTTAAACAACTCCTTAGCCATTCCTCAGCATTCTAAAATATTAACTTAAGACTTCAATAGCGATGCTATAATTTTTTCAAAATAGAATATCAAAAGTTAAAATTTCTAAAAAAATCAACATCAAATTCTAATAGCTACTCTATTTTAGCAATTCTACTATCAACTATATTATTAAAATATTCGATACATTTAATAAAATATTTTTTTTCCTAAACACTTAATTTAAATGTCTCCTATTGGGTTATACACATCTACTTAGATCAGATCATATCTTGAAAATGTGAAGGTATAAGTTTTGATGTTGATGTATAAAGAGAAAGTTAGTAGGGGCTAAATATCGTGTAAGAAAAAGAAGTTATGGTGAGAAGCGTAAAAAAATAGATCTGAACTTTGATCCCTTTTAATCTCATATTCACCCATGAATTGCGTTTTAAAAGAAAATTGATTTGGTGCATCTCGGTACACCTCAATAGTGTTGATATTCAGTAAGGATTGATCGAAAGATGTAAATCTTTTTTTACGCTTCTAACCATAATTTCTCTTATCCCAAGAACCCAACCCTATTATTAGGTCGGTATATATTTAACAATATTAGAAGGGTACTCGCACAATGCAGCAAGATAGATCTCGATTTTAATATTTTCGTTTTATTTATATTTGTAATCTCAAATTTTAAATAATATCCATCAGGGAGATTTAGACCAAAGACTTGGCAAATGGAAATATTCAAAAAGAGAAGCAAATTCCATTGAAACATTTACCAAATTTGTTGAAGGTTCAAAAGTGTGTGTTAAATCCATCTGCCCCCCAAACCCTCTCAGAAAGCAAAGCAAGAACACAAACATGGGGTGGACATGGAAGGAATCACACTTGGATTTGTTCATGGTTCCATTAGGGTTCTTGATCATGTCCATCTATCATCTCTTCCTTCTCTACAGATACCTCAGGATCCCCGAAACTACAGCAATCGGCTTCGAGAACCATAACAAAACTGCTTGGGTCGAGAAGATGTTGCAGGTACGGTTCCACACGGAATACTTTTACCTACGGATCTTTCCCTCGGAAATTCAAAGGTGATTTGGAATCCGTGTTTGTTTCTTTAATCATGGTTATCTTGATGCAGATCGAAGCTAGAGATCGAGGGCTCGCTGTATCGGTCCTTAACAGTCACTTATCTGCAGCAACTTCTTTGTCTTCGATTTCGCTGGCTTTGTGCTCGCTTATCGGAGCTGTACTCGGAGGTTCTTCGACAAAAGTCTTTTCAAGCAACTTCATCTTAGGAGACACGAGTCGTTCCACGAGCTCGATCAAGTACGTTTCCATGCTATCGTGCTTCTTACTAGCGTTTGCGTGTTTCGTACAAACTACAAGGCACTTTGTGCATGCCAATTTCCTTATAAGCATCCCCAACGGTGACGTACCCGTCCATCAAATCCAAAAGGAGGTGATACGAGGAAGCAACTTCTGGGCTGTCGGATTGCGCGCCCTCTACGTTGCGGGCACTTTGGTCCTATGGATTTTCGGTCCGATCCCGATGTTTGTTTCTTCGGTGGTGGCAGTGGTAATCTTGCATTTCGTAGATACCAATAAAGATGAAATGATTCGGTATCAGTCGAACCAGAATGGTAAAAATCGTAACTTTCTGAAGAAGATCGAGCATAATATAACTTCAACAGTCGAGGCTTTTGACCATGACGGACGGCCAACGAGAGACACGAAAGAAAGTCTCTCGAGTCTAGAGATTTCGGATGGCCGGTAACGAATTTGGAGGACGAGATAAGTTTCACCCGGATCCGATCTCGGTTCTCAGTTTTATGGTCGATGAATATTGAGGCATCTTTATGAATCAATTTTCCGAAGCATATGTATATAGAAACCTTAAATAATTTAAGAACCCATAAACCACCTTTTTTTGAGTATTTACAATGAATAAAATGTTCTTGCTAAAGTGCTACTTGTCAGTTGTAAGTTGTAAGTTGTAACATCAGCAATTTGCAAGTATCACTTTAGCAATTTGCATTGCTAAAGTGTTACTTTATGGATATTAAATTCTTAAAAAGTAGATTTTGCAAGTTGCTAAAGTGATACTTGCGAAATCTTGGCTATTTCAGTCAATTGAGTAGAAAAACGGCTATAAAATGAATTACGGGTGTCCGAAACGACTATTTTGGACGGTTTTTCCAACTCAAAACTTCAGATTGAGCCTACCTACGAAATCAAATGACATTCAAGTTACCCAGATTGTCAAGTTTTGAGGCTATGAACATACGACCAAATAGAAATCATGAATTCATAAAGCAGCCAAAAAGGAATTTAAGATGAAGAGATTAGGTGAAATGCACTGAATAATGTGGTCAAATTACGAGGCATTCAACAAAGACCAGTTAGAAATCCTAAGGCAGCAAAAGTTCCCAATTCACTCACTTTCACAAGAAATTCAATGGTCATGTTAACCAATTTAGGTTCGGTTCGATGAGGGCCGGCTCTGGCCACGTACAGCCCGTGCGGCCACATAGGGTATTAAAGCCTAATGGGACATCAAGTTGTCATCTATTACTAGTTTTGGTTTTAATAATTTGGGAATTGGACAACTGAGATTTTAACTATAAAAACAGGCCCAAGGCCTAGTAGTGATGAATACTGAGTACACATCGTGAACCGGTTAAGGCCACCATTCTAACAACTCAATCTAATTTCTATTGTTCTTTCAAAGTTCGACTATTTCGATATTCAAGGCATGGAATTCTCTTTCCAGTCGATTAACGGTCATGAAATTAGATTCATGAAGTCAAAGATGGAAATCTTGAATAGGTTCTACACTCTTTAAGAAATCACATGTTTCATTGGCTTAAAAAATAGGCTTAGAGGATTTTTTTTTTCCGCATAGGACATCAAAAATCTTAAGATGGGTCCTTGGTTCGATAACAAACTGTATGTACGGTGTTTATCATGATTAGGATTGGACAAAATTGGGTTGGATATATTATCCCTAAATATTGTTTAATGATTTTATATGATGGTTGTCGGACAAGATTGGGTTGGACAGGTTGTGATTCTGGTTGGGGGCGAATTTACATGATAAGGCGTGGCGAGAAACGCCACCGAAGGTTGATTTTTTTTAAATAATTTAGGTAAAAAGAATTAAGTCGGTTTTGATGGAATTAGTATAGGGACAAAAATCGAAATTTTTGTAACCGTATGGATGAAAATCGCAATTTATTCGAAATAAATACCGTACATCGGGGTTAAGTCACGTGGTTGAAAAATGAACAAAAAGCCCCTATAGCTCAGTGGTAGAGCGCCAGTCTTGTAAACTGGAGGTCTGTAGTTCGATCCTGCATGGGGGCATTATTCAGCTATTTTATAAATATTTTTTATTTTTTATTTTTTCAGCAATTTTAATAAAGCCCAATTAGGAATATTCACTTTTTAATCCGATTATGGTTTTTTTATTACTTTCTATGTTTTAAAATAATTATCTATATTACTATTTTATTTGTTTTCAAATAAGTGTCTACCGTCAAAAGTAAAAGTCTATTTTCTTGTTATAAAATATTTGACAAAACCTCTTAAAAACCATTTTTTTTATGCATTAAATATTGTTTATTGATGCATATTACTTAAAATTCAATATTACAAGTAAAATGTGCGTGTACAACTTATTAATGCTCTATGTTTGATTTCGTGTGACTAAGTACAAATAAACATAATCAAATACTAGATAGGTATTTCATTTTAAATATAAAAAATCTAAAATATATTTACGATAATTATTGAATTCTAAAAAAAATACTAATTATTATCTTTATATAAAAATTATATTATTAAACCAAAAATAAATCACTTCATTATTCAAATCTTAAATTAGATTATAATAAAAAATTGAATTATAAAAATTGCAGAAACAAAAAAACAGGAACTTCTGAATATTTAATTTGATATTAAAATCGATACATTTAAAAAAAATTATAATACTTTCAAATTTATATTTTATTTTAAAAAAACATTATCGTTTTTTCAGTACTACATAAAGTCGTATTATAACATCGACGAAGACAGAATAAAATGAAACATCAAAATCAGAATGCATCTCGCTATATTACGCGAGTACCCTTCTAGTAATTACTAGAAGAGTGCTCGTATAATATAGCGAGATATATCTCAATTTTAATGTTTCATTTTATTATTTATCTCTTTCGATATAACATGGTTTTCAGTGGTTTTAAGAAAATAATAATGTTTTTATTATTGAATAAAATATAAATTTAAAGATATCATAAAAATTTGGAACAAAAATATATATCGATATTAATGTCAAATTTATTATTTAAAGTTATGGTTTTTTGTGTAATTTCTTTAATTCAATATTTTAGTTATAATTTCGTTTAATAATATAATTTTTATAAAGATAATAATTAACTATTTTGTTATAACTAATAATTATCTTAATTATATTTTAAATTTTTTTTAATTCAAGTTGAGATGTTTATCTCATATTTGATTATGTTTATCTATAGTTAGTTACACAAATTCAAAATGAAACTTTAATAAGTTATACTTATGCATAATTTATTTGTGATATTAAATTTTAATTTTTAAGTAACATGCATCAATAAACAGTACTTTATGCATGCAAAACCAATAGATAAACAGTATTTTATGCATAAAAACCAATAGATAAGATGGAGAAATTTGTTTCTCTCTATATAATTAGGAATAAATTGTCTATTTGTTTATTAAAAAATAATGTAATAATTATACATTATTAGAATCGTATGCATTTTTCATTTTAAACATTTATTTTAATAATTATGCGAATAACATCTCGAACATATACTCTAAAAAATCAAACACAATCACAACATTGGATCATAATCTACAAATGATTTAATAACTTGCAAAACACAACCCAAACTTTTATTCAAATCCTGATTTCCATTTCTCACAAGCAAAAATACAACAAACAAACGTTATGAGCCGGTTCAACCGGCAGATAAATGCTCGGTCTTGGAGCTCGTGCCCACAGGTCACCTGTTTGAGTATCCTCGAGATCACTAGGGGATTTTCCTCGCTATCATCTTCAGGGTCTTATGAGATTAGTCATGCAAGCTGGCACCCACGGTTAAAAAAAAAAGATACGACACCCGTTTTAACGACAAATTTGGGTTTTCTTAGACATAAGGAACCTTTAACCTATGTGTCTCAGGACCAGCCACCATATCTTCCCAAACCAGGTCCGATAGTGCCATCGTCAAGTCCCCGACTTTCCCTGTAACAACCAACATCGTTAGACCACGAAAATATACGGTTCCTTTTTGTCAAATACTCACATCGGCTAGAATATGTGTCATAATTCAGAACCTCCTTTCTTTTCTCAAGGGCTCTTTTGAAGAATAATCTAAAGGGATTCCACATATTCTCACATGCTATCATAATCAAGGTCTAGCCCTCCAAGACTCGACACGTTGGAAGATTACGTACTCGTCTAGCCTCCTAACAACACTTGGGGACAATGTGTCCCTCTTGGAGGGCGTGTTAGAGTCCCACTTCGACTAGACTTGGAGTATTCAAAATCTCTCATAGCCAATGTGGGACTCTTGTTACGCTTTTCTGAAATGGGAAATTGAAAACAATAGTTATTTATTACCATCGCCGATAGCCTTTCCATCCCATTCGATGATTGGTAGTACAGGAAGCGTGCTTCCAATGTACATCATCTCAGCCGCTCGTTTGGCTTCCTCAACCGTTATGTTTGCGGTTTTCACGCTCTTCAAACGCCCATTTTCGACCAATTTTGGAGCTAGCTCAAGAAGCCGTTTAACGGTGCACCCACTTAGAATCTTGTCAAAGAAAGGCACGATAAGCTCATTCTCATGGGTGACAAAACCCACATTCACGTTTGGACCCTCGGCCACATACCCTTCATCGTCCACCCAAATGGACGCAAACGCACCTTTCTCTTCAGCTTCCAGTTTCGTGAGGACGTTTGGAAGGTAATTGACGTTTTTGCTTGTGGCAAATAGAGGTACTTTCATGGGGATCGTGGAAGTGATCACTTTCACACCTTCTTTACACTGGGAGAACTCTTCGGCTATAACAATCGCATAGAAAGCGGAAGTTGGGCAACCTGCAGGAGAAAGCAGGAAATCGCCCGGCCCTGCACTTAACCAATATCTTAAAGTTCCTTTCTTGCAGTTTGATGCTGCTGTTAGCTGGATAAGAATGGTGGAAAGAGTCGATTTTGGGAATGGAGACGTGATCTTTGCTCTTGATGCCGAGAGAAGAAATCGATCAAGATGACCATCCAATTCATAGAGGTATCTGTGAAAATAGAAGAAATCTTGAAGTTCTGGATGAAATCTTTATAACAATATGAACCAAAATAGAAGAGATCTTGAAGTTTTGGATGAATCTTGATAACAATATGAAGCAAAATATAAGAGATCTTGAAGTTTTGGATGAATTTTGATAACAATATCAAGCAAAATAGAAGAAATCTTCAAGTTTTGGATGGAATCTTGATAACAATATGAACCTTCATATCAAATGACATAAAACTGGCAAAAGTTGGTGTTAAACTTGTGCCACATTAATCATATAAACATTGATTTCTAGATTTTGAAGCACTAGAACAAAATCAGCTTTATAGGGCGTTAATTCGCCAAATATGTCTAAATGTTATAACAGATTGTTTTATAGGACTTAAGTTTATAGCATCAAACAATTATTGATTTTATAAGGTGATATGAGTTAAAAAATAGGTGATATGAGTTAAATTCACCAAATCAATTATTGTTTTAAGCTGGCTTGGACAACCACGATTAAAAAATAGGTTTACCACAATAGGAATGAAATCAAGGAGTTACCCATCAAGAATGATGGCAGTATCAAATACACCATGTCCTCTATGCACCATATGATCATCAATGGGGATGACCATCATTGCTGGATCCAGTATAATTCCACCATAAACACTGGAATACATAGCTGGATATGGCAGCTTCTCCACTGAACTCCACTTCTGATGCAACTTCTCAAGCAACTATTCAATGAAAAACAATTAATATAAGATACGGTTTCGCCAGAAATTCCAACTAATGAGCTTGCAACTTCAATCATGGATAGTGCATTCTAGATACAAAATTAGCATCAGAAACGTGATTTTTTGGCCACGATCCAAAGGATCGTTATGAAAATTGAGATGATCAGACTAGAAATTGAGAATCGAGAGCACAAGTTTTACGAAATATACCTCCGATGATGATTTGAAAACATGAACTGTTGATTCTTCCATATTCTCGATCTCAACTACTACGATAAATCAGCAATCGCATCAAACAACAGATCATGAATTAGTACACAATGAAGAAAAAAAGTAAAAATAATCAAAAATTAGAACCCTAGAGAACAGAAGGGGGAGAAATTCACCTGAATCAGCAGCCATTGAAGTAAGATCAAAAGGAAAGGAGATATGGAGAGGGAGAGGGAGATTAAGGGTATTTATAGAGATGAAAGTGGGTTGTTCACCATTAGAGTAAAAAATACTAGTTCAAAAGAGAGGAATCCATGGTTGTCTTACATGGAAATGGTGGTGATGGATTGGGGAAGAAGGGTTTAAGGGTAACGACGAAGGCAGGTGGCTGCCCCTTTGTTTGATTCTTTGCCTAATGTTTGTATCCTCTCGACTTCTTTGGTTTGATGTATCATAAAATTCAATTTCATGATAATCATTTATTTAGATGGCATGTATATCTGTATACAAGTAATTGAAGATTTTTTTTGTTTTTATGTACGTATACATATTGCATATATATATACCGGACAAATTACATACAAATTACTTGTATACACATGTGCATACCATCCAGATAAACGATTACGAAGATGTTTTTCAATTTTTCATTTTTTTGTACTATCAAATATATTATGTCTTTTATTCAAACACCCTCCGGGTATTTGAGTGAAGAATTGTAGTAAGATGACAAATGGTATGTGAACGAGGAGGGGTATAAATAGCGACCCGTTATTGAATGAATATGATATACAAATTTAAATTCCATCATATGTGAAATTGGAATTCCGTATTAAAACTCACAAAAACAGATCAAATGCATGAATGAAATTTGGTCAATGTAATTGACCATTTCAAATTCTTAAGATTCCATCGGATTCCAGTAAACCAAAAGTCACTTATGTTTTTAACCGTTTATGAGTTAAAGTTTCGTTAAGCCCATCGATTTTGGAACCATTTAATATTGAGATATAAACTTGTTGGGGGTGAAGATGATATAATCGTCTAGATAGATGCAACAACAGTATGACTTAGTTCACCCTCGGTCCGATTTCAGTTTCGGATATCCAGTCATCTTTCTCATACAATTCGGTTCATATTTCCTTACTAATCGAACCGAAATGTAAGAGACATCACCCACACCTATTTTACCATGTAACATCATCGACCATCAAAATGGATTGTTGGTAAACGTCTTAAACTCAGTAAGCGTTTACTGGTTAAGACCGTAAATCCTTCTTATGCCTCTTACAGGGTAGAATTATCGGTCATTTCCACGCTCAATTAGTAGTGTAAATGATATTGGTAAACGAATATCCGATAAATGTTTAGTAAATCACTCATTAAATGTTTTGAGAATTATACCTCAATGATGTTATAACCACTAGATACAAATATATCTTGTATGATTTAATCTGATTAAATTAATACTAAATTAGATAATCAAGTTTGACCTAACTCAATTTCAACCCAATTAAACATGTGACATGGGATGTTTAGGTTTAAGTTAAATCCACGACTTTCGTTTAAGCATAAAGCTATTTTCTCGTCAATAGATCAAAATATCATGAATTAAAGTGTTCAGAATGATTAAAAGACTACAAAATAAAATATAAATGTTTGGTAATTTTTGTTGAATGGCTAAGGGAGGTCCACGATACAAAATCATTAAGAGAGTTTTTAGAACCATTAAAATACAGTTTTTTTCGTCAAACAAAATTAACCTCTTAACGATTTAAAAGTTGTCTCTTAATAAAACTATTAAAAAGTAAACAAACAATTGGTATAACCCGACGAGATGGAGTTTGAAAAGAGGAAAGCAGAGGGGGGACAGAGAGAGGGCAGTGAGTTTAACCAGTGGTTAACAGGAGGAGGAAAAATAATACAAATCAGGCGGTGAAATGAGTCGGTGAGGGTAAAAAAACACCTAATTTACTTACACTGGTGATAACAGTAAAGCGCCGTAGAAGGAGGAGGAGGGCGGCGGAGGACATGACTTCAGATTGTCGTCATCAACCCCACCACAAAACTACTGTCATTTCTAGGGTTTTGAACCCCACCTTTTTCCCAATACAAACAAATTTCATTTCACTAACAAGTTTTCTTTTTTTACCATTGCTTTTTCTTTTTCTACCGTTAATAAAAGGACTAGATTGGATTAAGATGTAACGTATTTTAATTTGATTCTTATTTTGGGTAACATATTTTGAGAACTTTCATTTTGGTATGGAAGATATAAAATTTTAAATATTCAAGTACCCGTGTAATCGGTTGAAGCATTAACCGGTTGCAATATTGATGTGACGAGTGATAAGATGAAATTGAGTTGAATAATTAATAATACTGAGTTTGATACCACATCACTCGTCACATCAGCATGGTAACTGGTTAATACTTCAACCGGTTAACCGGTCACTTGAATGTTTAACACTTTACATGATAGGTACTAAAATTGAAGTTTTAAAAGTACGTTACACAAAATAGGAATCAAGTTAAAGTACGTTATTTTTTCATGCAATTTACATGTAATAAAATAATATCATATGTATTTTAATGACTAAGTTACACTTTTGGTTATTTAATAGCATAGAGAATACCTATTATACGGAACTATTTTTGTCTTTACTGAATGATAAAAAATGGGTCAAAAGAAAATGTTATGTTATTTTGGAATTTTATCATAAATTTAAATCAAAAATCATAACGATAAATTACACCAACACGCATTGGTTGAGACCTCTGAAAAAGAACGTAAGTGTATCAATGCAATAAACCTCCTCTCATGAGTCTCATAAGCCACAGTAGTCTCGAGCATTTCAAACAAATAATACGGGATAAACGAAGCCTTTACAGCTACAATAATTATCACATCAGGTAAATTTCTATATCTGGTAGATGTTGTGTTCTTCGAATAACACATTGTCTAAATATGGATTTTCATTTGTTCTTCCAAAAATAGAGCCTTCAAAACATATTTTGTTCATCATAAACATAAAAAGTGACAAAAGGGGTGCAACGATTTATGGTGGTGTGGGGTTTGAAGGTGGTCGGGTGGTATGTTGACGCGGTGCAGGTAGTAGTAGCTGATGTTGGTGGTGGTGATGGTGATGTGTTTCTTATTAAGCCTAATATGTGACTAGAGCTGGTGGTGACGGATTTCCGTCCTTAAGTGATATTACCAGCCATTCTGGAGAAGCAGTTGATTCATCAAATTTATAGCCTTGGACTCGAGAGATTTTATATGTCAGAGATGGGATCATAGTTAGGAGAAGAATATGGAGGGGTGGGATCGAAGTCGAGAAGGGAAGAGGGAGGCTACGAGTAGGGAATAATATATATATATATATATATGATTGGGTTCACGTGAAACCAGTCTGTTTTCGTGAGACCACATTTTTACGCATAAACTTCACAGCAAAAACACTGTGAAAGTTTAAAAAAAGTCGAACCTTCACAGCAAAACACTATGAAGGTTTTAAAAAGTCGCTTTCACAGCATTTTGCTGTGAAGTTTCAAGTGTAAAATGTTGGTCTCACGAAAACAGGCTGGTCTCACATGATCCCAAGTCTCTCTCTCTCTCTCTCTCTCTCTCTCTCTCTATATATATATATATATATATATATATATATTTCTTAACTTTTTAAAGAAAAATAATAAAAAGCTGGTAAAAAGACAAAAACCACCCTCACTTAACTCGCTCTCAGTTAATAAAGTCACGAGAAAATATAATCTTCGAAGCAAGATGCGAATTTAACAATACTTTATGTGGTTATTGAAAATGCAGGTCAATTAAACGTAGTTGCTCGACTTTGTGGTTGTATGTTTTTTAACAGTATTTTTCCTTTTGTTTTTTTGAAAATTTAATATATCGTGTCTTTGTGTTTGCATTTTTACAACGAGTTGGCTTTAATAGAATCAGCGGAACACGGGTTATTGATTTATTTAGATACTTAACTTATTAAAAAATTGTAACTATTTGGACCCAACTCATTAAAAAATGCAACCGTGGGGATGTAACTTGTTAAAAATACAATCATAAGGACATGTTCCGTTTAATTTTCAAAAAATGGACAACGATCGTTAGAAACGCTCAACCAGAGGGATGGAACATGTAATTTACTCTTGAATTGATGTTTTTTAGGGAGTATTTGAGATTGTTTATTTGAAATAACTTATATTTTTCTATAAAAGTCTTTATCAACTTATTATAAGTTAGAATGGTTTAATTTTTTCAAAAACTTCTTATTACCGGTGTGCAGAAATAAGTTGTTTATTTAAACACTCAAAAGTGCTTATTACTGGTATCACACCGGAATAAGTCAATAAGTTATTTTTATAAGCAATCACACACACCCATAAAGTTAAAATACTAAGATATGTTGGCAAATTAATTGATGAGTTAGTTGTTCGTGATAATCTATTTATTGATTAATTAATTAATTAACTATATACTGATAAACTAGTTACGTTGATAAAAAAATAATTGATAAATTAAATAAAACTTTAAAATAACGTGAATTAATGTTGAAAATTTGATTGTAAAAACAAAGAAAATGATACTAACGAGATTTGAACTCGAAACTAAGGTGGAAGAAAAACTTTGATCTTCATTATAGTTTCAAAATATATACGGTGACACACAACAAATTGATAAAATGTCATTTTTTACAATCCTGTAATATTTTCTACTACAACAGATAAACGAAACGATAACACGTGCCACCATAAAAACCCGTGAATTCGTCCATGCCAACTCTTAAATGTCACTTGTGTAATCTTGGGTTATTTTAGACAATTTGCCTTCTATTTTTTTAAATGGTGATTTAATTGGGGGAAAAAAATAAGAATTGATTTATAATAAATAGATAGGATTTAGATCGTATGATATGATGTAAAGCCTGATGTACATGCAAATGCATGATGGATGGGATGGAGTGACTAGATACATGCAGATACATCATCTTATTTTATTTTATTTTAATTTTATTTCTATTTATTTTTTCACATTCCAAACTCCAAACCTTTCTAAATGTATATATCTATTTTTATTAATTTATATATCCAACCCGATATGTGAGTCGATTAATCTCAGAACGACTATTTGTTTTGAGGATAGCCCACAGTAGAGATGGCCAAAAACCGGACCCGGCCCGGCCCGGTCTGGTCCCAATCGGTCCTAATCTTTCTCATAACCGGTCCCGGTCGAAAATGATAGGACTGGTCAAGGTACTTCATAACCGGTTATGGGTCGCCAATTCTGGTCCCAACCGGTCCTTGCATTAAAAAACAAGAATTTTTTTTTTGATTTTTTTAATGATATATATTTTTAATACGTTATTAAAT